TGCTGCGGGCCGAGGCTCGCCGGAGGGACCAGCAGCACCGGCGTGCCACCGCCGAGGTGGCACGGCTCCAAGGTGCCGGGGCGGGGCAGGGAGGTGGCCATGAGGTGGTGGGGTGGTGTCCATGGTGTAGTAGGATGGTGGCCGTGGGATGGTGGGATGGTGGCTGTGGGATGGTGGGATGATGGCTGTGCTGTGGTGGGATGATGGCCATGGTGTGGTGGGATGGTGGCCATGGTGTGGTGGGATGGTGGCCATGGGATGGTGTGGTGGTGGCCATGGTGTGGCAGGGTGGTGGCCATGGCGTGGTGCGTTGGTGGGCATGGTGTGGTGGGGTGGTGGCTATGGTGTAGTGGGATGGTGGCCATGGTGTGGTGGTGGCCATGGCGTGGTGGGTTGGTGGCCATGGCGTGGCGGGGTGGTGGCCACGGCGCCGTGGGGCTGAGGCGGCGGTGCCGCGCAGAGGAGCTGGCCAGGCTGCGGGCGCAGCAGGAGGCGCTGGGCACGGAGCACCGGGCGCTGCGGCAGCGTCACCACCGCCTCTGCTGGCACCTCCGCGACAGCCGCCACCACCGGTACCGCCCCGCGGCCCCCGAGACCCCGTGGCACCTCCGTGTCCCTGCCCGTGTCCCCTCCGGGACATGGCCCCATACGTGGCCCCTGTCCCCATGTCCCCTGTGTCCGCATTGCCATGTCCCCGCTGTCCCCATGTCCGCTGTCCCCATGGCCACATTCCCAGTGCCCCTGTCCGTGTCCCCTGTATCCCCTGACCCATGTCCCCCCTGTCCCCATGACCATGGGCCCCTGGCCATGTCCCCCCTGTCCCCACGGCCATGTGCCCCTTGTCACCTTGTCCATGTGCCCCTGGCCATGTCCCCCCATCCCCTGTCCCCTGTCCCCATGGCCGTGTTCCTGGTGCCCCCTGGCCATGTCTCCCCTGTCCCCATGACCATGTCCCCCTTGTCCCCTTGGCCATGTCTTCTGTGCCCCCCAGTTATGTCCCCTGTCCCCATGGCCATGTCCCCCCTGTCCCCATGTCCCCTGTCCCCAGGTCCCCTGTGCCCCCTGGCCATGTCCCCTTGTCCCCATGGCCATGTCCCCCCTGTCCCCCTGTCCCCCTGCCCCCATGTCCCC